GCCCCCCCCCCCCCCTGGATCCACCACTGGTGTCCAACAGTTTTTCACAAAATAACTAAATTTTCCATTGTGCAAAATGGATGACTCCGGAGAGTCTTTGCATTTTAGAGTACCTAGATAATGCTTTCCATAATACTCTCATTACCTTAGCCTGCTTATACACTCTTTCAATCCAATGGACTTGAATTTCTCTGTGCATTAACCTGTACAACTATAATTACTTTTACCTCATTAATCTCTAATCTTTTTTTTGAAGAGCACCTAAAAAGGTTGTAAAACAAAGGTGTTTTTAGTATTATTATAATTGTAGCGCCCACACCCCGAGGGAGGGGGCATACCTATGAAAGGAAGACAAAATAAGAAAGGTGTTGACTAGGATGCATGGCAAAACAAAATCTTTATTACTTAATCTTCTACAATAACAGTCTTTTCTTACAATAACATATATACGATCAAATGGCATAACAATACTCTTCAAGTATTAAACACAAATAAATCTACCTGTTCGCATACCTTGAATTCATTAGCTCTCAGTGTTCTCTTACTATATCACTAAGAACATCATCTGGTTAGTTTCATTACTTTACTATCTCTAAACGAAACTATCCTTACTTCCATGCTTTATTTAAAAGCGCAACTCTTCATCGATCTCATAATCATAACTTGGCTACTAATAAATAACTTAACCCTTATCAAATGTCTATAACATTGCGGTATCAGTCAATCTACTTTAGCTTCTAATCATATAACTCTTCACTTAGCGTCTCTTTCAAGAAATCACATATATAGACCTAATACAAGAATGTTGGCATAATCATCCCTATATTACTGTCTAATAAGCTTCCTACTCTTTACGCTCCAAGACTGAGGATCCCTTGTGCACATAGACCCTTAGAATGTAATTCTACTCTCAGCCTTCACTAATCCATAAATTCACAAGTTACTTCTTGTCTCAGGACTTCACATTAATACTGAATAAACTTATAACTCTTCCTTAACTATAGCTCTATAGCTCATGTATTTTCCAATAGTCATCTGCATCACTTTGATCTAATACTATCTTTTCCAGCGAGATTACTGAACTTGAAAAGATACATCTTCAACAACTTATATCCTAAACTCCTTACAATATTCACAGAACTGGCAAATAGTCTTAGTCTGCAGTCTGTACTAATAGCTCTAACAAACTTACAACCAATATTACGAATTCCTCTTACTGTATAATCTCATCTTCACATACAGTTCATATTCTAATTCTAAACAACAACCAATAGTTTTACTAAATACGTGTATATTCATTTCATGGTTATATACAAAGCAAAGTGAGAGTGAAAGAGAAAGGGTGAACCATACAGAGAGAGAGAGAGAGAGAAAGAGAAAGAGAAAGAAAGAGAGAAAGAGAGGGAGAGAATATAAAGAGAGAGGGGGGAGAGAGGGGAGGTATATATATATATATATAGAGAGAGAGAGAGAGAGAGAGAGAGAGAGAGAGAGAGAGAGAGTAATTCCCAATAACATTTAACCTGAATTATCATTCCTAACAATATAATACAATGAATTCCAGACAGTGATTATGCAAGTCTTCAACTACAATATTTCATCAACCCATCCATCACTAGCTAACTATTAGACAATTATTTGACCATGTGTTTCTCAACAAGTGTATTCCCCAACTCAAATCCTTTGTCTTCTAATTTTGCTGACTCTACCAAACTTTCATTCCCGCCTAAGATACCATTTCCAGCATGGGTCAAAAACAAACACATTCTATCTCTAACACTTCTCAACATAGCATTTGGGTATAGCATATACTCTATCTACACTGTGTGCGTGTAATGCATTGCAGTGGATGGTCAAGCTTGGGGGGAGAGGGGATTAAGAACTCTGATAAGAAGTTGTGTTCACATTGCACGCACTGCCATAACCTAATAACACACTAATATTATACACGTGGTGCGTCCACACTCACTCATACCATAATACTGTAAGTTAAAGATAATCTGGACTTGAACAACTCATTTCGCTATTCAAACTGTATCTAACTCGAACTAGAATATATAACAATGTGCTTTGGCATAATGCATAGTAAATGGCACATGTCCTTGGCTAAGAATATATATATACACATGAATATCGAGCAAAAGACAAATATACTGACAGTAATAAAGTATATTCTCTTCTCAAAACTTACTTAAAATGTTGTCTAAGTCAAACAACATAATCATCAATCTCACACACTCGATAATACTTTCTTATCATTTCTACAAGTAATTACTATGTACATTAATGACATTATCTCTCCCCACATGGCATCTCTTCCCACATGGCATTTCTTATATTTCCACTCATAGTCCACATGTCATATAATCCAACAAGTCATTGGCAAAGATCATTAATATCTCTTTTTACACAGTAATACAAGATATGTGAATAGTGAAGTTATAATAGTTTAGAAATACACATATTATGAAGAACAAGAATATAACACAATTGAATAATAAGAGATTCTTTCTTACCTATGAAAGGAAGACAAAATAAGAAAGGTGTTGACTAGGATGCATGGCAAAACAAAATGAGAAGCCACTCCTGGTATCCCAGCTGGTGTGTTTATGTTGGTTGTGGGTGAGGCCACTCTCGCAGGAGGGGGTACCTAATCAACTAAGAGGAGGGACTGTGGGGGCTAGAAATATACTTGTGTCATACATAGTGGCTCGAATTCACAAAGCAAGGTTTGAGCTCAGACCAAGGTTTGACCTCAAACCTCCTTTTGTTTCGCCAAACCTCCTTTTGTTATTTACAAACCTGGTTTGTAAATAACAAAGGGAGGTTTGGCGATACAAAAGGAGGTTTGAGCTCAAACCTTGGTCTGAGCTCAAACCTTGCTTTGTGAATTCGGGCCAGTAAGTCAAAGATACACAAAAAATAGGGGGGGGGGGTATTCTGTGGGGCTCCACATAATCATGAAGTTTTTATCGTCATGCACATAATCAAGAAACTAAGGTTATCTGTTTACGATTCTATTTCGTATGGTGTATTAATTATTATGATAATCAGAAAGTTTTGATTGCCGTGCACTAATCAAGAAACTAATTGCAGTGCTCCTCCTAGGCGATCTACCCGTCGCCCAGCCAAACCTGTATGGCACTCAGACTATGACATGTGACATTGACACTCGAACAGTTTACCTTATGTCTTTAATTCTTTAACTGATATTTGGCTATTGCATTTCTTGTTTTGCTAGTTTCCGTCATGTGTTAGGTTTCGTTTTAGCCTGGTCCGCGTTCACGTTTATTGTTCTTACTTTTACTTGTCGTTGATCATTGGGTCGTATTTTAAGTCTTTGTCGCACTGTTAGCCTTTCGTTTCTTTTTGCACCAAAGACTTGGGGGGAGATAGAGGATTATGTTATAGTTTGATCTTAATTAAGGGTATTTTCTGTTATCTTATTTGTTTACAGTCCGTGATCATTGTTGAAGTCTAGTGGCGTACACAGGATTTTTTCAAGGGGGGGGGGGGGGGGGGGGTTTAAAATTTTGAAATCGGGCCGAAAATTTCGCAATGACTCAGCCAGCCGCTGAATAAGCGGGGGGGGGGGGGGGGGGGCTAAGAGGACACTTTTTTGTGGGGGGGGGGGGGGGTCTCGAAATTTGAATAATTGACATTTTTTTTTGGGGGGGGGGGGGGGGAGGTAAGGTTTTTTTTTTGTTATGATTAAAAAACAAAAACAAAAAAACAAAAACAAAAAACAAAGGGGGGGGGTTAGGGGGTTATAGGGGGGTTTACACACATAAAAATACCAAAGGGGGGGGTTCAACCAACTAACCCCCCCCCCCCCCCCCCCCCCCCCCCCCCCCCCCTGTGTACGCGCCTGTTGAAGTCTACTGATCGACTGACACAAATAATAGCCAGATCTTATTTAGAATTAGTACATACAATGATTGTGCATATCGATATCTGGGGCAGGCAACGTTCGGTCAGATTTTAGCTTTATATTCAAACAACGTTTTGCGTAACTTTTAAAATTTTTGTTAACAAAAAAAAAACCTATAGACGCCCTGTATATATTTGAAATGTTGGTTTATTTTGCTGAGAGAATATAAACAAATTGTTTGCTGAGACATGTTGAAGAAAAATGGTCTAGTAATGGAAAAAGGAATAGATTACACTTTTCTGCTCATTATTGAATACATGTCAGGGAGGGGAAGTCCACCTTGATATTAAGTTAGCTTCATTAGAAGCAGAACAACAATTTGGGTTTTCTGTTGTACGCAGAAAAATCTAAATTTTCTATTCTTTCATCAATATTCGACTTTAAACGCATTTGTTTTGAAAAACCCTCGCAGAAATATGTCTTAAATTAGATCCTCTTTCACATTATGATACAATTTGAGTCAAATTATACCATCAAACTTTTGGGGCTCCCAACGATTAAGAGGCTCTACACCAGGCGCGGATCTAGGATTTCTTAGGGGGGGGGCCCAAATTTAAAATTATGCGAGCCAAATATCGGTACGTAATGGTGACCTGCATTGACGTAGTGGGGGGGGGGGGGTGCAGGGTGGGGCGATTTCCACCTCCCTCCTCCGCAAAGCGCCGAAGCTTTGACGTTTCATTAAATTATTAGACAAAAAAAAGAAGACGATTCGTTGTACCGTTCTCGAAAATAATCCTCGTTTTAATTCAGTTTCCCCCTCCCATGCAGAGCTTTTACGTTTCATTAAATCATTAAAGAAAGAAGACGATTCGTATTACCATTCTCGACTCTTAATTCTTGTCCCCCCCCCCCCTGGATCCGCCACTGAATATAACACTGCCACATGCAAAATTCAAATTTGAAACTAGAAAATGACTGTGATTTTGCTAGTGATGAATATTTTGACACCACATTTTCAAGAAACCCTTCAATTATGATTTTCTTCCAATATTTTAGCCCTTTTTTCCGGGCTTAGGCTAGTAATAACTCCATGGTTTTTTTAAAACAAGTTTAGATATTTTCACCGTGCAAATCGCAGCAACAACGCCCTTTAAAGATACCGTAACGCTTATAAAACCTTCGTCGTCGCGGTAGATTCCGATTCACAATCACAGAATCAGAGGTACCAAACATTGTTTCTAAAATGATCAACACCGGGTAAGTCACGTTTTAATGGGACATTAATGTAAACACATGAATGGAGGCTGTCTTAAATATTTAATGGGATATATTAGTATATTGCCAACCTTCATTTTACGCATGATATATGATAATCTTGTTTGACGATTCGTACACCTAGGCCTACAATACAATAGACCCCACATGTGTACGAGTACGATCCAGGGCAGCGCCAGCGGGTCAGGCTCACGTTCACCGTTGGTGTGCCAAGATATGGTCGGACGTTGGGTCTGTCTGGGACTGGGAGCGCGCTAAGCCTAAGGAACATAATTTTGCGGATCACCACTGTCTGGCATCTTCTACGCAACGCAATTAAATTAATGCCAAAATGCAGGAAGGGCTTGTAAGATATAACTTTTTCAAATTACAAAGGGAACTGAGTGTGAATGAATGTTAGGCATGCATGGAAACTTCGCTGGGAAAATTGACTGGTTCGATGATGTCTGCAAATCTATGCCACGCCCACACACTCATATCATTATCAGTCATAGAAGTTAGTGGCATCACTAGGGGTGCTTTTATCGTGTCTTGCCACTAGATATGTACATATCGAATCCCACTATCGAACCCCACTATTGAACCCCACTATACGATCATGATTTGCAGGATGTCGCGTTTATCGTCTCTTCACGATTCAAAATAAGAGCCTTGTCTCCGCGCAACTGTTTTGCACCATAATTTGACCCGGGTTTTGCACCATAATTTGACCCGGGAAGCAGACAGTTTCTCGGAGGTCAACTACACACACATCCTTATACAACAACATGACACAACACATGGCGCACGCTAGCCTCCGAACCGGAAATTAACCTGGGAGGTCCAAATTGCACATGTATGTGGTGTTCAAAACAGCTTTTGAGTTTATTATCTCTCAGAAACGTGATTCTGGCTGTATGTCACATTCAAAACTGACCTTTTTTGGCGTTACAATATGCCCATATCTAAAGACGTTTGAAAAAGGCTTTGCGTTTATCACCTTAAAAATTTGCCTGAAAGACGAGTCACGATTGAGAAACCTGATTCTAGGCAAAAAATTGGTCAATAAACGCACCCTATGATTTGTGTTATGAAAAAAAAGGGACATCCTGTCTTGATTGATACTCATATATCTCAACACCACTGTACAAAACTTATTCTCTCAAAATCAACACTTTCATGACAATTGATGACACCAGAATAGCAGGAAAATACAATCAATTCAACTCACGGATGTTGGAAAAAATATTTTCAAAATTTAATTCAGAAACCTATTCAATGTCAATCCTGGCGAAGAGTTACTCTTGATTCTTGCGCTCTTAATTGGTGTAGTAGTTCAAGGGATGGTTATGCCTGGTTGCAATGGAGATGACTTAGTTATATTTGATTATTTTAATTAGTGAGCCTGACAAGAGTAGAATGTACAGTGTCTTTGGAGGATATCACATTTGAAATAGAAGAGCATATTCTGGTAACAGTTTATTGTTAATCTTCAGAATGATCAGGTATCCTGAAAAATTTGACAACACCATTAACATATATTTAGCCTTATACTATTAAGGGCAAAATACCGGCCTTGTCCAGTAGACTTCATACACAAGTTTAAATCCATATAACTGATGAAATGTTTGAATAAAAATTGAATTTTATCCATCCTTTGCTGTAATTTTTTCAATGAAGAATAATAATACTAATACAAAAATAAAAAACAACTATGCAACAAGACAGTGTAAGACAATAAGAAGGTTAAAAATGTTCACTTACAGATATTTTTAAGAAGGAAAGAGAAAACATATTAAGTAGTAAGTGATGTAATAATATTTGAATTTTTCAAGAAAACTTAGGCAAAACTGGGCAGAATACACATCTAAAATTGAGACAGGAGATCGAGAGGAAATTCTGATATGTTTTGTAGTTCTGATTGACAGATTTGTTAACACATTGGATTTGATATGGGGAGGGGTGAGTCTGCAAACACAGGCTCTAATTTACACTTTAACAGCCTACTGTAGTCTCATTGTGCAGACACTGTACAATATGCAAAACGCCGGCAGGGCGCGACAAACCCGCTTGCCCGACGTCCCGGGGCAACCAAATTGAGCCGTCGGGCAAGTAAATCAAATTATCACTTGCCCGATTCGGGCAAGTGATACTTTTACAGTAATTTCCTAGTGTCCAAGAACTCTACCATTCACCCGTCAACTTCTTACCCGTCGTCAAAATCCAGAAGCAAAAAAGCGATCGTTCCGATTTCGAAAAAACTTCACAGACAGCTAGCCAGCTCAGCTAGCTCAGCGCGCATGCAACAGTGACACTTCAAGCCATGAATGCCGCTCCGCCTCCACGCACGGCCGGCCGTGAGCTAGCTAGAGACAGCTAGCGCGATCGTACCAGCTGCGAGCTTATTCGCGCTCTCTCTCTCTAGCTCTGCAGGCCGCACCGACAGGCCTTTGCTATTCTCTGATTGCCGATTGGTTGAATCACGCCAAATATGACGTCATTATTCTAGGGAAATGAACACGTGCGAATCGGAATGGAATAAACAACAGGGATTTTCTAGTAAGTACAAAAAGTCAAATGTTTGATATTTATTCATAATGACTGTTAATGATTGTGAACATATTATTTAAAACTCGCTGCTCATATAAATCAGATGAATGTTTTTGTCTCGTTTTCAATTTATTACTGCGGTCTCAAGATCCGACCGAGCGAGTCATTTTGATAATAGTATCGAGACCCCCAGAATATAAGCCGTTGTTGTTTTGTTTTCATGGTTTTAGCGACGTTGTTTAGTCTAGTTTTCGCATACTTATCCGAGATTTATCGTAAAATATCTTCAATATTATTATTTAGTAAGAATTTACAAATTTTGGCATGATATTTATAGCAGTGAATGATGAAATAAAAATGTCCGTACTTTATTTAAAATAGTTGATTACCCATTATTTACATGACGTTTCTTGATGGAAGAGTTGACCCAAATTATTAACAGCTGAAAATTAGCCTACGTTTCCAAATGACAGCGGCTTGCACAGACACACATGTGATGTTGCACCATGGTACATGTGGCTACCATTAATGACATGTTTGTATCATATTTTTTACAACAGGGTCATTATGCTTTTTTACATGACTGAATATTAAAAACTTAAACCTGCTTGAACCATTCTACCTTGCCGAGATTCATGTGAATCTGATTATTTATGGAGAATCAATAAAATGCGTTTTTTAAACCTTCAACCATCCTTTGTTGACCATTTTCTTTGACATATTAGGTTATTATTCAGTACAGTTACACTGTACATGTATGTGCATTAATTTGCTATCTAAAACACTAACTTATCATTACGAGATAATAAATGCTTTAACCTCGAGTCCTTTTTCGCTTTAAAGTTTTGGGCAAGTGGAAATATTGTTTGGGCAAGTAAATTGAAAACCCACTTGCCCGACAGGGCAAGTGGTGAAAAAAATTCTTGTAGCACCCTGGCCGGATGAGCGTTTGTGCCTGAAAACTAGGGAGAGGGTGGGTAACTTATGGTTTCCTCTTTATTGACTCATACTCATAGTCATACTGTGTACTGGTGATGCTTGTACTTCAATTGCATACTTAAAGGTAAAGACCAGTATTGGAAATGCCCCAATTTCAAAAAATGAAATGGAAGCTCTCATTACCAATCATGTGAAAGAATATGTTTTGACTAATACATGATGATAAAAAATTTGCCGGGAAACCGCCTACTAATTCATATATTTGGTAAATTTGTTTCTCTCATGGTCTGTGAGAGATATAGGGTAGTCCCATATACATCTTTCTGTGTATAGTGCTTGTAACTTTACGAAGAATGGGCCAAATTTCTTATCATTTTGATGATTCCAGAACCTTGCAGATGCTAGATGATAGATGATCAACCTTTTCTGATCGATTCCACAATGTTTCTTTCACAATGCAATCGCATGACCATAACTGGTCTTTACCTTTAAGAATAAATGATGTGCCTGCAACCTTTATATTGTTGGTACCAGTAAATGTTAAAGTCTAAGACTAATCCCATTTACCATCAATAGTTATACTCGTTTCACACTTGTTTTGCTTAACCCCGTACTTTGCTTAGCCCCGTACTATCCTTAACCCCGAACTAACTTATTTGGCTTTTCACACACGCTTTTTTAGTCCTCTACTAAGCGCCTACCCCGGAATAAGAAAATTAATGCTGTTCTCACTGCAAATCGTTAGCCCCGTACTAGCTATATTGCGCGAACATTCATTAATTCGCTCCATTGCGTAGTACCGGACTATTTTTTGTTTCTGTTCTCATTCATTTGCTAGGTTAGCCCTGCTCTTTTGCAGGGCCAGCTAACCCCGTACTATAGGTAGGGCTAGCCCACTTTGGTAAATACATGTCTGAACAGAAAGTGAAATAAGCTTAACCCCGAACTATAGGTGGGGCTAAGACCCCCCTTTAACCCCACCTATAGTCCGGGTTAAGCGTATTTGTGCTATTGTGAAAACAGTACTAGTGGACTGAATGCTTAAAATAGATGCATTTATGGATTAAATGCTTGCATGTACATGTATAAATATATGTGTAGTCACTCCATCATTTTGTAGAGTCTCTGTCTATCTGGCGAGGAAAGGCAAGATAAGATTTGAAGTGGTCGAAGAATGTGAATTTAATGTGATTACCGGTAGGCCAAATTTAAAAAAAAAGTGTTTAGTCTCCTGCCTTTTTGAAAAATAGGAAGGAGGCCCTTTAAAAAAAAAATTAAATTTTTTTTTACTTCAAAATGGCCGCTCGGTACATCTTCCCTGACAGTCGGGCTATTTTTCAAGATGCCCGCCAGCATTTATGCTTTTAAAAAATTTAAACTTCAGGAAAATATCATTTTAGCAGTATGTTTTTCATGTTTTATCATTATTTTTTTTTTTAAAGAGCAGGCGCACCCCCCCCCCCCCAAAAGGAAGCAGGCGAGGACGCTTAACATGATTTTTTTTTGCAATGGCCTTAATTCTGTCCTCTCCCTGCATGTACCAAATTGTGCTTAGTTAGGCTATGGTTTAACATTTAACATGCATTTGTGTACAGTACTTCCTGTCAGCAATCGTTTGAGGCAGTCTGAACGGCTTTGCAAACAGTAGCTGAAAATGACCTTCAGAATTTATTTGCATTTAAACTGATACGCTCACTGACTTTGGTACACATAAGATAGACCTACAAACTCCATATCTATTCATGTTAGTGTGCTGAACTTGAACTAGTGGACAGATATTGCAAAGACGATTCTATTTCTACAACCAAACTTTGATACCTCAAAGAGTCCATTTAGCCTATTTACAATTTACATGTACATGGCCATTGTAAGGACCCACTCTCCCAGGCCCAGTACCTATGCATTGTAATACATTGTGTTTTATAAAATAATAATACTAAATGGGCATTTTAGAATTTAAACCATATTAAATACATGAACTATGTTTATAATATTCAATTGGTTTACCTATGTTATTTTGTGAGTACCTTGTTAACTACTGTAAGATTGCTAAAACAAGTATAAAAACTTTTATTTGGGGAGGGGGGGGGGCTTGCTCGTCATAGCAACAACTAATGCATTCATAGGGAATTTACCCATTGGCGTAGGGGGATGGAATCCTACATATAAAGTAATCTGGTCTATTTTAATAGGGCTTGTTCCTTTCTTGCTGTCCCTCTCATACTTAATCCAATTGTATACTTTGTTATTAATTTTTCTTGTGAATTTTATCCTTTGTATCATGTTGATTTATGAATGTTTGCATGTGTTTTCTGGATTTTTATGAGCAAATAAATTGAAATTGAAATTGAAAGATTGAAAATTGTATATATTGATGAATATGAAAGATACTTTTTTTTAAAGTTAAGATATTTCAAATGTAGATTTTAAATCATGAATGCATTGTTGTCATGGTAGACATGACATGGTAGGAATCATTAGCACCTTGTTTTTTCCTGTATCTACAAGTTCACATGTTCAATGAGTGATAAACTTGAAAGTAGGAAAAATTCCTTTCAGGTACAGGGTTGTTGATTACAGAGAAAAAATAGTTTACTAGTATTTGAATACCAAAAAGCATTTGTGCAATATAGAGGATATTTTTTTTGGTCATGTACAGTATAATGTATACATGGATTTATTTATTTATTTATTTATTTCAACATATTTCATCAGGATAACAAGATCAGAGAGGACTGGTTTACATCCTGGTCCTGAATAGTAAAAGCTTACACTAAAACATCAAAATAAATTAATCATTCAAATACAATATAGTCAGAATTCTTAAAATACTTATGAAGTCATAAAAATATTTATAGCGACCACAATCTTGAGTAGAAACCAAGTAGAAATGACATGATATTTACTTAAATATATAAAAACACAACAATGGAATCAAATAATCAATTAATCTTTTTAGAATCAAATTCTGTCACACTACAGAATAACCTTATATCATGAAGTACCAAACTAAACCTAAAGCAGAAAGAGCAGTAACAACGATATTACAATAATAATATTCATAATTAACAGAAATAAGTTTTCTTATACATGTTTTTAGAACAGCCTGTGGAATGTGTATTATGTAGATTAAAGGGTACTAAGTTATTCCATGCTTTGCCGCCTGCATAATGTAGACTATTCTTGAAAATTTCAATATTAGGCTTGGAAACGACAACACTCGTTGAGTAAGCCAATGTCGTATTCATTGGATGCGGATCAAATACCAAGTCAATAGCATTGCACAAACGTGATGGAGCATAGCCATGGATACAATTATACAACATACAAGCATGAAAATAGTTCTGTCTTTCTTCTAAAAACCTGCTATTTCAATCTTTTAATAATATCAAGTTCCTTTCAATTATTCTTGCTACTTTTTTGTGTAAATCTAAGGATAATGGTCTTGTATACAGGACAATCCCCCAATACTGAACAATTGCATAATCTAATATACTGTACATGTACATGTAGGTTGGATTGTACATTTATATTTCATATGCTAACAATTTACTGAGCTTCTTCACATGCATGTCCCAGGTTAAGTTTTCATCAATTTCAATTCCTGAATACCAAATACTTTGTTCTTGTTTGATTTTATTGCCATCCAAAGAAATGTTTAAATCCTGAATAGTTTGTGAGTTGCGTTTCAATAACATACTGTAAGTTTTTTTCAATATTAACTTAGACAGATTCTTAGATTTAGACAATTTCTCATGACTAATAAAAAAAATTGTTTTCTGCCAGACAAGTAGTTACTAAACCATATCAACTCATTATTCTAAACACCATATCTTTCCAATTTGTGCAGTAATACTTTTTTAATCAATATAGTCAAAACATTTCTATATATTGAGGAAACAAGTACCGACCATTCTGCGTTCATTAAAAGAATCATACCAATCATCTAATATCTTATGTAAACTTGTAGTTGTCGAGTGGTTCGGTAAGAAAGCATATTGATCAATATTTTAGAAAGTTGTGTTTTTGAAGTTATCAAAGGGTTTGACTCTGGACTTCTTTCTCCGGTAATTTTGCTAAATGACATACCACAGAGATGGCCCTAAAGTTAGTCATATCACCCTGTGTGTGTGTGTGTATTGGGTTTTTACAGATGTTTATTAATCAGATATGATTGTTTACGTCTGTGGACCGACCTTTAATGTCACCATCCGAGGACGTGACTTTCCTCTGCTGAATCAGTTTGTAACTTCCATTGTTAGCTGGATTACAATACAGGCGCACCCAAATTCCCTTTACCCTTATAAATGGGAGCAGTTCGAGCAATCTTCCAGTCTTCCGATATACATGTATATCCGCTTGACAGACTTTCATTAAATACAGACTTTCATTAAATAATACACTGGTAATTTTGCTAAATGACATACCACAGAGATGGCCCTAAAGTTAGTCATATCACCCTGTGTGTGTGTGTGTATTGGGTTTTTACAGATGTTTATTAATCAGATATGATTGTTTACGTCTGTGGACCGACCTTTAATGTCACCATCCGAGGACGTGACTTTGTTTCGAACCTGCGTCCTCTGCTGAATCAGTTTGTAACTTCCATTGTTAGCTGGATTACAATACAGGCGCACCCAAATTCCCTTTACCCTTATAAATGGGAGCAGTTCAAGCAATCTTCCAGTCTTCCGATATACATGTATATCCGCTTGACAGACTTTCATTAAATAATACACCCAAAGAAGTCCTTATATAAGGCGATGCTATTCTTAGTACTTTGGTATTAAAATTTATTCATCCGTAATGAATGCATCTACCTTTACTGTCAAATAAAATGTTCACTTTTTACAGTACAGTCAAAGCTGTCTTTAGAAAATTGCTAATTATTTTAAAAGTCATCTATGAAAAGTAAATTAATATACCGGCACATCTTATGAAAGATTGTTTCATCCCAAATCATTTGGTATCATTTTTGTGAGGTATGGATTCACGCTTGAATGAACAGGAGGCATTGATTGCGAGAGTGCAAAAATCGACTTGCGCCAAAGTTACTTGTGTGATGTTTGAATAAAACAATTGGGATTTGGGTATCAATTTGGTCCTTGCAGATCCAAATAACATTCCTTACAAAATTAATCATGCCACACATATCAAATATCAAATATCAAATATCAACAAACGTGTGTGTGCGTGTGTGTGTGCGTGTGACCTTGCTTCTGCAAAAAGCATATGAAATGCATTTCATTTGATACATTCAATTCATTCTCTCACTTCGCTTATCCCAACATAATACATGCTGTAAGCATCACTTTGGCGCAAGTTGATTTTTGCACTTGTGTCGTGTAAGCTTCAGAATACTACTGTAGTCCCACGCGTTCACATTTTAGTTTGCTTTCTTTCCACTACATGCAGGAAACTAGCCGGGCGGACGCTGTTCATTACAGGTGCTAGCAGAGGCATCGGCAAGGCCATAGCGCTGAAGGCTGCCAGAGATGGAGCCAACGTCGTCATCGCTGCCAAGACAGCAGAAGCTCATCCAAAACTTCCAGGCACGATCTACACAGCAGCAGAAGAGGGTAGGTTGGGCGTAAGAACCTGTGGAGATATGGCACTTTGTCGTGCCAGCCAGTGAAGCAATGAAAGTTGGTCGTGCATCTCAAACAGTAAAAGTTTAACAAGCAAAATGCATATCCAGGGTTCAAACAAGTACCTTATGCCCTGCACTTTGCACTTTATACAGTGTGGATACTTGAAATATTTTCTTTGGAGAAACATGAAATAAATAAATTTGCTCACATGAAACAAAAATAAAGATCTGCTTGCATGGATAATCATAGGGTTGAGAATTGTGTCAAAAAGATCAGAAAGAACTTCATTAATTAGTCCGAGTCCTTTATCAGATTTTCCTGAAATTTCTACTGATTTTTCCCCTCCATTTTATTCATCCCCCCCCTCATTTTCTGCTTCTGTGATTACAGAGGAGACTCCCCCTTTGAGTTCACTTTAATTTCTACATGATTGTTTTATCTCATAATCATATTTTCTCTGTTTTGGTGTATGTATTGGAAAAGATTAGAGGGTAATACATGTCATATTTACTGGATATCAAAGAAGAATTCAAAGTGGTTTTCTAAAAAAAAAAAAAAAAAAAAAATTGACATATTTGCATACCTGTTCACACAAACTCAAGTTCAATTTGTTTTCTTCTTCTTTTTCTTTTTTCTTCCCTCTCTGTGTATGGTGTCTGTAGTGGAAAAACTTGGAGGGAAATGTCTGCCATGCATTGTGGATATCAGAGAGGAGTCCCAGGTGATTTCAGCCGTCGAGGAAGCCGTCAAGAAGTTTGGAGGCATCGATATTCTAGTCAACAACGCTAGTGCCATCAGTCTTACAGGTTAGTATGCACATTTATGGCAGATAAATATATATAACGTATCATTTATTTTAATGATAATAATATTCCGCTTTTATATAGCGCCCAATACATCGTTGTATCGCTATACAGATATATTATTACCCCGGTCATCGGATTCAGGCTTACCTGCACACAATGTATGCACATTCTCCACTCCCTGTGGTGTTGATTTTCAGGCTATTCCCTTATTTGAAGCCGTGACACCACTTCCATTTCAGGCTCTTTCTGACCTGTTCAGACTGTAAATTATACAGTATTTATAGTACTCCAACATATATGTAAATCCACTCTTAATACACTGAATGATAACCATTTTCTTTGATTCAGTAAGTTAAAGTTCTAATTTACCACATCCATAGAAAGTCTTTCTTTCTTTGGTGGTAAAATTCAGCACAAATCTATTTTAATACATGGTTCACTACAAGTAGGAAATAAATCTTTTATTATTCTTAAATTCTTAGATCTCTGTATGAGAATATGAACCGGTAGTTACACCTTGCACTTGATTGAACAAAAATAGGAATCAACTGTTTTCATATGAGAGGTGTTGTGGTCTAATGGATACATCGTCAGACCTTGGATCACATGGTTCACATTTCGAGTCCCACCACAGTCCTAATGTCCTTTGGCAAGAAATTCCTCTACATTTGCCACACTGGATGCAGGTGAGGTGAATGGGTACCTGGTAGGAATTAATTCCTTGAAATGCTAGAGCCCCATAATGGCAGCCATGCTCAAGTCGGAGTAATAATTGTGGAGCGCCAGGAGTTTCAAGTCTGACAGACATGAGCGCTATACAAGAAATCCACTATTACCGGTATTGTTATGATTATTTTTGTTTTACCTAGATACTGACCACACACCAATGAAGAAATATGATCTCATGAATTCTGTCAATGCAAGAGGGACATACATGTGGTAAGTTATCAATCTTAACATTCCAAAATTTCACTGAAAGCTTGCATGGAAAAACTAGAGTGAGGGCACTATAATGCTTGTAGTTTATTGTATCACCCTATCAAAAGATCATTAGAGACTTTGGTGGAAAGCGCTTTATAAGCATAGTTTGTATCAGTATTATTATCATTATTTTTGTTACCGATGTAAAGTCTACATTAATGTGCAATGAAATGGAGAATGTTCCTGTGTATTTGGTTATCAGTCAATGAATTTACTTCAGTTGACTTATAGGCAGGAGGTTGATCATTTAAATCCCAGCCATTTGTATCTTCCTACAATCTTTGACTAAATGATATGCTATGTGGGGAGATACAATCTACAAGCTCCCTACTCAAATGTAGATGATTAAAATCTTCTGATTACAGTGAGGTCCAGTCATACGTTGGCTTGGTATTAAAAAAACTAGGTTCACAATTTCAAAGTACACTTTCTGAATACATAGAACATAATGCAAATATTAATAAAACATTGATATCATTACAGAGATGCCAACCCTCCCGATTTTATCGGGAGGCTCCCGATAATTCACCCCAACTCCCGACCTTACGATCACCATCCTTATCCTCCCGATTTATTAAAAAAAAAAAAAAAAAAAAAATGATTTTTTTTTTTTTTTTTTTTTTTTTTTTTTTTTTTTTTTTTTTTTTTTATTATGATTTTTTTTGGAGGGCGCTTATCAGTATATATATCTGTGAATTGAATGAGAAATATCATCTGCTAACTTAAGCATGTAATAATTCCACTATGTTAAAAGACAAATTAAGAGTAGCGAAAGATTGTTTCAGCATATGGATCGCCGTAACCAATGCGTGGATATTGCCACAGAATCCAAATGGCGGAAAATCAGCAAAATAAGACCAGGAAATGGTCTCGGAAGTATAAGACCGAATACAGTATCAAGTACCTGTGTAATCGGAAGTCTGAAAGTAATTCATCATGCATTTTGTACAATTTTTATGTTATTTAAAAAAAAAGGGGGAATTATTTAACTAAATACACATGTAAAATGCTCCAAAATAAGGCTCAGATTGCACCAGAGAGCATCTAGAACCCCAGAGCTTCCAGGGCCCTAAGGCGGGCCCTGGACCCCGGCCGCATGTGTCGGGCGCTACGCGCTCGAGATGTGCGCTACGCGCACATTAATTGGTGTCGATTACAAATCCTCCCTATTTCTGATTTCCAAAAGTTGGCATCTCTGTCATTATCACTAATATTTATCACTACTTACTTTAACTTTGTGTGTTATCTTGTTTTGTTTCTAATTTTAATTTCAGCTCCAGAGTTTGCCTTCCATATCTCAGGAAAGGAACAAATCCACACATCTTAAATCTTAGTCCACCTTTGAACTTTGAACCTAAATGGTTTAGAGGTCACGTAGGTAAGTGATCAATATAAGCATTATTCCCAGTGCTGTGCTCATTTAAAATGCCAGGACCTTGAAGTAAAAGAATAATATTTTCTAGTGCTGTGCTCATTCAAAATGCCAGGACCTTGAAGTAAAAGAATAATATTTCCCATTTGCTATGGTAAACTATCAGAGTAAGGGGGTGTTTCACAAAGACTAAGATCGACTTTATGTTATACTTAACTATGGCAGGCCATTCATGCCACTGGTTGCTCTCATCATTATGATCTATAGATAATATTTTCTTTCAATAATAAACTATCAAATTCTGTAAATTTGTGACTATGATTTGTACCTCCCTTGAGAGACCAATGACTGTAAATGGTGAGAGAAAACAGTCCCCTGTTTTATCAAGTCTTTATTGTAAAAGAAATTGTAGTACAAACAGTCAAACCTGCTTTTAGTGACCACCTGACTATAAAGACCACCTAACTAGAGAGACTACATTCTCTGTTTTGCCCTAAATAGTGTCTTTCACTGAAATGTGTACTCGAGTGACCCTACACCACCTGCCTATCAAGACCACTTTAAAACAAAAAACTTTGTTGAGCGGTCTTTATATACAGGTTTCACTGTAGTTATCAGGACTATGGTCCAATTCTGGACTCATGGCAGGTCGTACCCAAAAAGTTTTTGTTGCAGTAATGTTTTAAGATTGTATTTTTACTATAGTATAGTGACAAAGAACCCTTATCTTACAAACCAAAATATTATTTGATGCTGCTTATAAGTATTGGCTTGCATGGTGATGTAGATATACAGTAGGCTTGCGGTAGCACCATGTGAGAGAGGGAAAGATTATCGAGAGTCCTTTTCAGGACTCCCCAATCCTCCCTCTCTCTCTCACATACAAGATACAAGATATTTTATATGGTCTTTGCAAACAAGGTAAAAAAAAACTTGGTTTCCATTGGCGTTACAGTAATATTCATGAAAATACATAATTACAAGAAATAAGTGCATCACGTTTATAATAATAATAAGGAACAAATACATGCAAAAGGTAATGAAGCGACAAAAATAGTCATTGGTACTTCAAATCATGAGTTTCAAAATTAAGTCTCGGTCAGTGGTATTTCAAATCATAATATTTTCAGTATGGTGCAACCGCAAGCCTACTGTATACAAATATTATTTGGTGCCACTTTAAGTTATTCCATATAAAACCATGGAACATTAGACTGATCTTTTCTGTCTGTTCCTCATCTTCTCAGTATCTTCTTTGTTTGATTTCAGCCTATTCGATTGCCAAATATGGAATGTCTTTATGTGTACTGGGAATGGCGGAGGAATTCAAAGCAGATGGGATAGCCGTCAATGCACTGTGGCCCAGAACAGGTAAGATTCAGTCACTTTCTTATTGCTACAGCAGGGTTGACAAGTAGTCCCTTAGTCAAAATGGAACTGTAATTAATCTGTTTTTTCTTAAAGGCATCGTTTAAAGGTAATACAAAGTTTTGGGAAATTTTGGGTTGGGTGGATAGTGATTCTTTACTATTTTGATATATTTGGATGCCCCTGTGGATGTTTTATAAGCACTAGAAAAATTAGCTCCTAAAACACTTTTGCTTTCAAGAAAAATTGAATTTTAAAATTTACTGGTGCTCCCAATAAATTTTGATGGATTTCAAATAGCCCCTACAACCGTACAATGGTAGCTGCGACCATGTGATATGTATTGTAATTTGTATGTCTATTTGCATTTTTAGTTTTGTATAAGATGTAATTGTATATCAGTCTATTTTGTGTGTATAGCGCTTAGAGACTTCAATGGTAAGCGCTTTATAAGTAACGTTTTTATTATTATTATTATTATTATGAAAATCTCAGAATATGCAGTTGTGATATATAATTTCCAAACGGGAATAGCTAATTGGTCGATTTCAGTCAAGAAACATTGTTTTATCGCTTAATTACTACATTGACCTTGAGAGGGAGCTATACAACATAAAGAGTTTATTATTTACAATTTCATAATTTAGACTCGATATCAACCGCGACAACGATCACTGAATATTGTAGGATCGCATATGCTTCCATTATGTTCATTTGAACCAAATTCATGACCCCATACCAACACTTTGTATTACCTTTAAAATGTTAAATTTGAGATGCACGGCCCTACGTGTTATCAGTGTCTGTGATACGGTGTAATATTGAAGCCCTAAAAAAAAAAAACGTGCATCAAAGTGATCAAGAAGTGCCTCAAAAAAGTATATATCTTTGAGTGACTGGTTTTACCTTACTCGTTTTCCCCAATAGACTGTAGTGTTATGAAAACCGTTGGGAAAACGCAAAATTTGGTTTCGATTTCCAATCATAAATATCTTGATAAAATCACACAGGCGATCAGCTTGTAAACGTCATGGGGTTCCTGACTGACCTAAAGGTTTATAATTATAATAATAATAATAATAGCCTAATAGTCCACTCCAAATATTATTAAACCGAAACGGAAATTCTTTTTGCCCAATTGATCGTGAGCCCTGCAGCCACTGAGCAGCGCCAGATCAACGTTGCTCTATCCCTTATTGTTGAACGCCAAACAAGGTAGCAACAACTCCCATCTTTTAACGTCTTTTGGTATGACGCGGCCGGGGTTCGAACCCATGACCTCCCGGTTGTGAGGCGGATGCTCTACTGACTGAGCCAACACTCCGGTACTGCAGCATGAGCTAAATCCAAGATTTTGTTTCAGAATCTGATACAAAGTTACCGGATCCCTTAAAAAAAAAATGTTTTCTTTCTTGTGTAGGTGAGGGGAAAATTCTGAAAAAGAATGCAGACAGATATAAAATTAATTTTTTGGGTTATGAATATCATGCCTGTTGTATAGTTGTACAACACATAATCCTGCCATTCTTACTCGGTGGTCACTTTTCTACATTAACCAAATTTCTAACTTCAACCCTGTAACTAAGCCATACCTATAATTGGAGGTGTGGCCTACTCCACAATGAGGAGTTGCATAACATTTGTTATAACAGTTTTCACTATAATGACGTTCCACTGTATTTCAAATATTTTCCTGTGCTGCAGCGCCATCTGGGTAGCAGGACAGCAGGAGTCAGCAATACAGCCTAGAACCATCAAAGTTACAAACAAAATTTTGTTGTTGTTATAACAGTGTTCTTTTTATTGAAATTCCAGTGTAATTCAAAACTTTCTACTGTCCCTTCGCAGCCATCTAGAGGGCAGCAAAGCAGATGGTCGGAGGTGAGGCCTGTTCCACGATGAAAAGTTGCAGAACAGCAGACATCATCACAGATTCAGCAAAGATACCAAGTTGAATTTAATAGCATTTGTTATAAAAGTGTTCATTATAATGAGGTTCCACCGTAATGTCTTTCCTTCACTCTGTAGCCATCTGGACGGCAACCATGCAGATGATCGGAGATGAGGCCTATTCCACGATGAAAAGGTGCAGAACAGCAGACATCATCACAGATTCAGCAAAGATATCAAGTTGAATTTAATAGCATTTGTTATAACAGTGTTCATTATATTGAGGTTGCGTCCATAGTAATAGGGACTTTTAGATTCGCACGAGGACAATGGGGATTGCTACGATCGACGTCCTTTTAATGCGCTGCCTTGAATGGACGTCACACGTTTCAGTCCACGCAAATCCAAAAGTCTCTATTGTCTTTCCTTGACTTTGTAGCCATCTGGACGGCAGCCATGCAGATGATCGGAGGTGAGTCTGACTCTACAATGAAGAGTTGCAGATCAGTAGATATTATCACAGATGCTGCCTACGCCATCTTCAGCAAAGACAGTTCAACCTTCACAGGGAACTACTGCATCGATGATGAGATCGTCAGGGCAGAAGGCATCACTGACCTGGGACAGTACTCCTGCGTCAAGGGTACGTGAAGTAGACTTTGTTGTAAAGCCAATTAAGTTCTGGTAATGGCATTGGATTTCATAGGAGAAACTGGCTGAGAAGTAGTTCTATATACTGTATAAGCAGATATTTTCGCATACAGATATTTTCTTTTTTTTAGTGCAGTGTTTATCCCCATTACAATCAGGCCTATACAGAGTGCCCCTGAAACAAGAAAGCCCAGATTTGTTGATAAATTAATCTAAATTAATTATTGGTTAGTTTTACCATTATTGAAAAGCTTATTTTCTCTTCTTTTATATGACTCCTAAAACATGATCACTATCTCAGGAATAACTGATTTCAGACGGCCTGATGAGATCTAGAGAGAGAGAACCCTGATTGTCCAAAACAAGTGGATGGCCTCAATGTTTGATTCATTATAGTTTTGAAAAGATAATAAGATTTTGGGAATATTTAATTATTGAAAATACACATCCCTTAAAAGCTCATATTCTCTTCTTTCAAGTGAGGCCATAATCATGATGGAAGGATAACGCCTGACAGAGCAGGCAGCACACTTTGTAATTAGTCAGGCAAAAAAAAAAAATGCATTTGAGCAATTACATTGTATCTTTTATACCAATGATAGGTTGTGCACTCAGTCATATGTGATCCTTCCATTATGATTATGGCGTCAAATATAAGATGAAAATGCAAACTTGTAGATAATGTGTATTTTCATTAATCAACAAATAATTGTTGTAATTCTATTATTGCAAAATTATGTCCTGAAGTATGTTAAACTTTAACTTAAATGTATTTTACTTTCTTTATTGAATCACTTGATGGTCGTATGCCCACAATTATACAATTTTTACACAACTGCGCAAACAGTGTCATTTTTGACAGACATGGTGCATTATAAATGTCCACTATTATTATTATTATCAATAATCCAAAATCATTTTTTTGCTGGTTTGCGCAGGGGAACCTCTCCTCCTTGATTTCTTTGTGGACCCCGACCCAAAGGCCAAACCAGGAGAGTTCATAGATGCCATTGGGGCCGAAGAGGCGTTAGGAGGAGGAGGAGCTGAAGCTGGAGCAGGAGCCGTGCCAGCCATGTTTGATAAGATGGGAGGCATGCTGAGTGAGAGTCACGTCCAGAAGATTGGCGCTGTCTTCCAGTTTGAGCTATCAGGTATAATGAGGAGGGCAATAGATTTCTCATCCTTATTTAAAGAGAAGGTTGAGTTATGGGAAGAGGTGAAAATTTGGCGTTATCATTGTTATTACGCAAGTGTGGAAGAACATCAGATGTAAGTGTTCCCTGAAAAGCATGGCTCTTCAAATGCTGTAATATTCTAAAATGACATGTAACAGCTTAAAGATCGGGACAGATTTTTATGCCACATGTTCGTGTAGTCCCATATACATATTTCTGTGTACAGTGCTTGTAACTTTACCAAGACTGGGCCAAATTTCTTATCATTTTGATGATTCCAGAACCTTGCAGTACACACCAATACTTAAATGCTACATGTACATGATCAACCTTTTCTGATCACATTACCAGAACTCAACTTTATCTTTATGAGGTACTGATCATTCAAACTTTGGGGAGGGGGAGAAGTGCATGGTTCATTAAATGTCTCCACTCTTGATACCACATTGAGTTCACTGGTTACTGTGACAGACTTGAGTATCTTATTGAAATGGTTCAAAATTCATTTAATCATATCTTATCGGTTGAACAGTTAACGACCCCCCCCCCCCCCCTCCCACCTCAATGTATGTGATTATCATTTGCTGTAAAGAGGTTAGAAATCAATACATAACATTTGGATGATACTTTTACTTTACCATGTAAGAGATACATTATTAAGTTCTGAAATGAATCAGGAACAAGGGTGACCCATGAGTCATCTCGTGTGAACTGGTTGACCCTAGTAAAAAGTGGACAGATGGGGTGACTGAGATGGAAGGAAAATGATCTCTTAGCTCAGTAAACAATTGAAGAAGAAAAAAAATCCACTGTTAGTGGTTTAGTGATTTAGAGGATCACCAGCAATTAATGTACTCATAGTCATAATTATCTTCACGAGGGCAGAAGTCCCATATAGAGTACTGAAGCTGTGACGTCATAAAAATCTATTTTTAGAATTTCTCAATTTTTCTTCATTTTCCGAAAGAGCATCAAAAATAAAGTCCAAATGTCGAAAACCATCTGAATAAATTTATGTCCTATGGGAACTCAGTGTTATATGCTCTGGCTCCTAATGGTCATTCTCAGTGAATACTTCACATATTCAATTGGTTTTCGACATTTGGACATTATTTTTAATGCTCTTTCGGAAAATGAAGAAAAAATTGAGAAATTTGAAAAATAGATTTTTGATGACGTCACACTTCACCACTCTATACAGTCATAGCTATAAATAAACAGCCTCTAAATTAGTTTGTTTACACTCGGTTTTATTATCTCTCATTCCTTTCTGCCGACAGGTAACGAACCTGGAACATGGCACCTCGATCTGAAGAATGGCTCCGGATCAGCTGGCTCCGGACCTCCGTCCAACACCGCTGACGCGACCCTGTCCTTGGACAGCGCTGACTTCATCAAGATGTTTGAAGGGAAAATCAAAGCTACCGTTGCCTTTATGGGTGGCAAGCTGAAGATCAAGGGAGACATGATGAAAGCCATGAAGCTGGAGAAACTCATGGATGAATTCAATAAGCTTCCAGCGGCAGCGGCGGCACCCAAGGCAGAGCCCGTAGCAGCAGCAGCAGCGTCCGGAGGCAGCGGGGGTCAGATAGATGTAATGTTCACAAGGATACGAGAGCTTCTGAGCGAAGAGATGGTCGGGAAGATTGGAGCCGTCTACCAGTTTGACGTCTCGGGTAAGATCACTTACAGTAGTAGATAAGACCACTTTGTACATGCTAAAATCTTGTTATGTCAGACTAAAAAAAAAAACACGATAAAAAATAACAAGCTGCCAAATTCTTATTGTTATAATAGGTTTCACATAAAAGTTTTCTTTATCATAGGGTTCTCCTCTCCTTTATTTGTTCAGCATGAGAAGTTTTAAAATGTATTTTACAGTCATTAGGTAATAGAGGTATACTGGAGATGGACACACAGTTGCTTTCAAGTCTGTATTCAATTTGATAACAAATCAACTTTCTGGAGGACTTTTATAAATAAGGAACACAATATTGTTGTTCTGATGTACGTGGTATTTGGCAACAAATAGTAATGCAATCTTAAATATGCATAATGGAACAATCACTGTGAAATCTTTTCTGAAACCAGCTTTACTTCCATAGGCACTTCTGTTACTGTTGAAATTTTGCACAATTTATAGGTGAATTTTTTTTCTGACCTCAAATTTTTAAAATTTTATATAGAAGTACTGGGGGGGGGGTGTTGCCAATCTGCCAATCAACGATACCTCATACAATGTATGAACATGACCTACATGACTTTAAGTTGGACTTAACAATGGCAGGCTGTTCATGCCACTGTTTGCACTCACCATTTACTGGCATTGGTCTCTCAAGGGACCTACAAAGCTACAGAACTTACATTTATTTACTTACACTTACGTTTATAATTCATTATTGGAGGAAAAAATACTATCTAATACCCCATTCACAGTGGCCTCAAACACCGCGACAGCAGCGGGACTGTCCCGCTGCTGTCGCGGTGTTGTCTTCAGTGTGAAGGCTCGGACCCGTTATAAACTATCGCGGGATAACACCGCCTCGCGATAACGCCGCGACAAACTATCGCTAGGTTCGCCTAGCTACAGCAGCGGGACAGTCCCGCTGCTATCGCGGTGTTTACTCAGTGTGAAGGCTCTCCGCTATAACACCGCGACAAACACGTGTGATTTGTTTACTTACCTATCACTGACCTCTTTTCTCCAGCAATGGGGAACATAAAGTGAAATAGAAATAAAGTAACCAGTGGATTCAAATTGATTTTATGATTATGTAGATATTATAATTATCCAAATAAAAATATTTCACACTTCAAAAAATTAAAATATTCTGACTGGAAGCAATAAAAATGCTAGTTTTTTAAAAAGTAATATGATCGAGGATACAAAAAGCAACTTGACATGTTTACGCGCTGAAGTATTTCCGGTCATATCGGGGTCACTCGCGGGTCATGAGCCATGCATACACGTGTTTGTTACGGAGGTAATAAAAATCACCCGCTGCAGCGTGAATGGGTACATGATATTTATCCCGCTGCTGCAGCGGGATAACTTTTCTACTGTGAATGCATTTGTAGCGGTATTATGGCGGTGTCGCCGCTCCGCTACAACACCGCTACAAATTTCAAAACCACTGTGAATGGGGTATAAAGATCATAATGGTATGAGCAAAAAGTGGCATGAACGGCCTTGCCATAGTCAAGTCCAACTTAAAGTTGATCTTAGTCGTTGTGAAACACTCCCCTGGGGGGTGTTTCATAAAGCTGTTTGTAAAGTTATGCATGACTTTACGAACGACTTGTATATGAAGTGCCAGATAGGATGCCCAAAGTTTTGCCTCATATTTCCAATAACCTTAATTAGATTTTGGCAAAAAATATACTTTGCATTAAAATGTTTGTTATTATAATAAGAATGTTAATCTACATCTGCACAGTTCAACTTTAGATGATGCAGTTTATAACAATTGAGCATCCCATTTGGCTTTTCATATACAAGTTGTTTGTAAAGTCATGCGTAACTTTACGAACAGCTTCATGAAACACCCCCCTGGTACATGTAGGTCTTGTTCATGCATTGTATGAGGTATCTTTGATTGGCAGGTTGTTTATTACACAGGAAATACTCGAGTGAAATCTACCCAAACAGGTGTGTAACAATGGCAGGCATAGTAGCTTGTAGATTACAGGAAGAAAATTACAAGAAATCAACATCTGATGAATTTCTTGGTCAGAATTTGTAAACAAGGAGGAATGTATAATTGACTAAAGGTGCGAAAGGTCACCAGGAGGGCACTGGGATTATGAATGAAGGTCATGTGTAAAAAATAACTTTGCACTGACAATGGTGCCAGATATGGCAGATGTAAGTGAAGATCCAACAGAATTTGTTTTTACTCCTATTTTGTAATTCCTTTTGTAGTTAAGAACTTGTAATTGAATTACTCATTATTTCTAAGTATCATTTCAAGGGTCCACACTTGTACAAGCATTGCTTTTTAGTGGACCCCTCTGTTTCCAATATGTATTCCTCAATTTTTGTAAATGTTTATAATTGATTTGTCATGTTTTGTTGGAAACATGAATAAATTGAATTGAATTGAATTGAACTTAACCATGTACGGTCAAACCTGTATATTGAGGCCATGCAAGGGAAACAGAGAAAGTGACCACCGTAGACAGGTTCTACAACACACTTGTTTTTCTTGAGGGAGACAAAATAAATGGCCACTATAGACAGGTCACCTTTGTATAACAGTGGCCACTAGTAAGACAGATTTGACTGTATTTGACAAGTTTTCCATCTTTCTTTGACCAGGTGAAGAAGCCGGAAGCTGGACCCTGGACCTCAAGAACGGTTCCGGATCCGCCAACGCGGGCGCTGCTGAGAACCCTGATGTGACCATGATCCTAGACACGGCTAACTTCATCAAGATGTTCCAGGGCAAGATGAATCCCACCATGGCCTTCATGGGCGGCAAGCTCAAGATCAAGGGAGACCTCGGGAAAGCCATGAAGCTCGAGGGTATCATGAAGAAGATGCAGTCAAAGCTGTAGAACAAGAGCGATTCAAAGTATTCAGTAGGACTTGCTTTCACACATGGCTCCACATTAACTGTTATGCCAAGGGGTCAGTCTCTGTACATTAATGATTCATCTTTAAAGTATACCAGCCATCTAAAAATATAATTTGTGTACAGTTAGAATGTATAAAAACCAACCTCAAAATATCTTAACCGGGCAGTATACGAGCTAATGGTTGAGAAGTATGTAGTATGAAGCAGAACCCAAGACAGACTTTGGTTCTGTGTGGGCCATATTCTATGCCAGTGCATTGAGTAGTCTACTCGCTCTAATGGAAATGGGCATAAACTTGGCCCATAGATTCCGAGATTTTTAATTTTTTTTATCTTGCTTTTATACATTCTAGCTGTACACAAAATGTTTTTTTTTTAGGTGATTGGTCCAAAAAGAGAGTTTTGCCATACCTCTTAATGAAATAATTGTGCAAATCTTAAATACGTACACCCTTATATGTAATTGTCGACTTCTTCCACAATACACGTTTGCTTTGATTGCATTGATGTACGGAGAATTTACGTCATTTCCTGTAACTCTATTAAAGCTCTATGCTGCACCTGTAAGTTTCTGTTTATCTTGTATATGTAAATAAAAAGATTGATAATTTGAAGCCATTTGTGTTGTTCACAACCATTTTGATCAAATCAATATAAATACTAGTGAACTAAATGTGACTTCCATCCACATACAGGGTAGATTTGGAATAGATAAGAACTTTATAAGGGCATTGATTATCTGCTTTTTGTACGGTAGTAACAATTGGTTAGGATACTATATGAAGAGCCTCAAGTAAAGTTTTAACTCTATTTCATAATTATAAATATTGTATTTAATGTTGCAATGATATGATAAAAAAAATATTCCTTTATAATATCGGTTCCAGAAATCAAACAATGGAATTTTCTTAACCTATTGAAAAAAAGCTTGATTCACACACATATTCAGTGGAATGAAATAGACATTTAATGGGTTTCATCTTTACTGGGTTAGTTGTACACTGTGTCTTGATGATATGCAAGCGTGTTCCTGCATTTGTACATGAGCATTTAATATCTTTTAAAGCGCACTAATGTCATGAGCGGACAAGGCCACACCAGAATTACAATACAAGAAACATCAATACATGTATTAGCCTTTCTCTTGTCCAGGACATATCATCTATCAGAGTGGGGGCCAAGATGAAACAGATGGAGTGTATGCCTTAGCCATCATGGTGCAAACATGAATATGCATGAGATTGTGATCGAATAATATGTGTACATTCATCATTCTTTGTTTTTTCATTAAAATGTGATGCACAAATGATAAGTGACATTTCTTAGGAAGTATGTACGGTTGGATTTTACTTTACCTCAATATCATTATGTAATGATAAAAGTAATTTGTCAAGAATATGAGGCTTGTAAAGCATTCATTGTAAAGTATGCTCTATGCTCTAACATATTCTACCTCTGTTATCCTTTGTAAAATACATGTACTTCTTGATCTATCCTTATGGAGGGTATATTTTCAATTCTTAATTCTGTCACCAAAGAAACAGCCTACTAACGCTTTTCTAGCTGAAATCAATTTGAAAATGGGATTTTCGGGGTCGTGTGGAAAATATTGTTTGTTGTATCATTTTGAAGTGTACATGTAAATTGTTTTTGTTCTTAATGGAGATGCCATATTCCAATTCTTAAATGAATTGGCATAATATCACTTCACTGATTTCAAAGATTTCTCATAGGAATTTATTGAAAAACAATTACTACATATTTATTTGATTAATTTAGGAAATGCAGTGCAATCGGTGTATTCCTTATCATTGTGGCCATGAAAAACACTTTGCAGTGCGTTTTCGTTCTGCACCGAGACAATCATTTGTAGATTACTTATACACATTCCTACTGAAGTATACAGAGAGGGGAATACCCTGTTAAGCCCCGTTCTCATATGATGCAGGAAACTGCATCTTAAAACCAATACGGCCAAACAAAAACCATTTTATTTCTGAATGGCACTTAGGAATGAATAAAAAGGAGAGCTGTGTTCAATGAAGGCCCTGAAGTGTACTTACTTTAATATCTGTGTGTTGTAAGATACAGAAACGTGAAACATACAGTATATATATAGCCTATTACAATGTCAAGATTTGAGGCAGTTGACTCGTTATGTGTGAACAAGGTCCAAGTTTACAACATTATCATCATGACCGACCATGAATGTACAGTCAAAATGTTTGAAATCTATTTTCAGAATTCCCTTGTCATTTCTTGACAATTTGCCCCCCACATTTGCATTTCATTTTGAAAATACTTGTACAATGAATTTATAACATGATTGAAAGAAATTACCTACAGATTTCTTTGAATCAAATTTATTGAAAAAGAATTAAGTAACTTTGTACTCTATTATAATATATATGTTGAAATTTATGGACGAAAGTAGTATGGTTGAATTATTATTTGTCTTGCACAAATTGTTTTCAATTCTTTTGGTGCGGAATGTAATAAATCGGTTGAAATCAATGATCCAGTATCCTTCTCATTCTTGTTAAGTTTAGTTTTGTCCATTAGGAAAAGCAACATCAAGGGCATTGACATTTCTGTTAGAAATCAATTTCTTGTTTAAAAATGTCTTGAAATTGAAACAATTTTTGGAAGGATTGAAACCACAGTGTTTCTTGCACATAATTTGTATACAGCGGCGGATGACAGATTTTTGAAAGGGGGGATCCAACAATTGCAGGAGGCACACTGAGAGTGTAAACATGACTCCATCTGGGTGGGGTCCAGGGGCAGAGCCCTCGGAAGCTCTCGAGTTTTAGCGATAGACCAGTACCTGGTTAGCACATGTCCCAGATGACCCCGAATATCCACAGATCTACAAAACATGAAGCGGCCCAACTTTGTACATTTTGAAATAATCACTCCTACAGCGAAGGAGGTGCTACATAAAACAGCCTATGTTTCCCCTTTCCAAAGAATACTTCCACCTGTATATCATGGAGTGCAGTACTCAGTGGCGTATGCAGGATTTTTTTCAAGGGGGGGTTTTCCAAAAAAACATACATAAAACATACACATAAAAAAAACTCGAGGGGGGGGGGGGGTTAACCCCAAAACCACCCCCTGCGTACGCGCCTGGCAATACTTGTGCATGAATGAATAATGATTACATAACTTTCATGAGCACGTTTTGTCTCCGTGTATTTCACAACTTGGTCTGCAATGACCTTAATCTGCTTATGCTCAGACTGCAACCGTGAGCTGGCTTATTCAGAACCTACCTACCTAGATTAAACCAACTTGAGCAATAGAAACACTCTTTCCCAAGGACAATTGTATACAATAGATGGTTGTCTTGGGAACCACTTCTATATTTATGGATGGATAAGGTCCAGGGGCTCACTAACTTAGGGCCCCTGTCTGGGGTCTAGGGGGCGGAGCACCCATATGCTGTCGAGTACACGTATTGGCAATTTCAGAACTTGATAGCCGTCTTTTGCGATAGAAAATCTTCTCTATGCCCTGAAACTTGCACTGCCATCATTTTTTTCTTCCCAAATTCAATTTTCTCTCTCCCTCTCACACCCGGGGTTGTGAGCACTATTTTTTTTTTTGGTCCTCGAAAATTTGAAAAATTGCACCCCCCTCCCCCCTTGAGCGCCAGGGGGGGGGGTGGACCTATCTCCAAAAAAAGGTAAAATTAACTGTTAACAAAATGTATAAAATATATTTTTAAAAAATTTAAAAAAAAATCCCAGGATCCGCCACTGAGTATATGGCATCATTGCTTTCTTTCTCCAGTTCTCCTATCCATCTCCAATATTCCACCAGAAATAGTTTATCATAATATGTTATGATAAAACCTAAGAGAGAGCGCAATTGATGGAATCGAGACCGTTTTTTAAAGTATTCACCTGTGCCTGGGAGGGGAAAAAAGAACAGAATCACTGTGATCACCTTCCAATCAAACCATGCAAGGCCGCTCGTATCATTATTATCTTGTTTAAATCCAAATCCACCCCTCCCCATCCCTCCTCTTTCCCCTCCTTATATCCACTCTAAATACAGCTCCCTTTTCCATCCCGATCCCCTCCAATGCACCACGTACCACGACCACCATGTGGCACCACTATTATATATCACCACGGTTGAGACAGCGCATTGGCAAACACGGGTAGGATACCCAAAAAAGAAGAGAGAGAGAGAGAGAGAGAAGAGAGAGAGAGAGAGAGAGAGAGAGAGAGCAGAGAGAGAGAGGGAGAGATTACCCACCCCTCTGTTTGCGTCCTGACAAACCTGGTTCCTCGATCGATCCCTTCACCCTCTCATAATGATATACCCCGGTAGGGTCCATGATGTTAACTATAGTGTCATCTTGTTTACACTAGCTGCATGGTTTAATTTTAATATACTTCATAATGCAAATTTGGTCGTCGCGTCAAACTTTGAAACATCCGAGCTCGCCATCCGATCCGATCCCTTGGTTTTATTTTCCGTATAACAATTCAAATAGGCCTACATACAAGAATACAATTTACAAATATTTTTTTTCCCCATAATTTTCCCTCCACATGGATTTTATTGATTTTCATTTGAAACAAATTAACAAATATATATTCAAGGTAATTTACATTTATAAAATAAATAAAACTTGGCTTCTCAAGATACAAGTATAGTTGAACTGTTGAGTTAACAGAAAACTAATAAATCGATTATTCATTTCAAATATTCATGGAAAGAAAAAAAGAATACAGAAAAATATCATTTTATTTAAACAAATTCCTGAATTGAAACCATTACAAATATAATACAAATCAAGAAGTTGAAAGACATGACCTGTGATGGCTGTGTGTATATAATCAGGACCAGACCGAGTCGTGACTTGAGCTTTAACTTGAACTAAGAAAACGTAAATATTGACAACCCATGCTTAAAACAAAAATATCCATTAAAGCCACCGGAGCAGTATCAGGTCGGAATTTACGACCTATAGTTATATTTTGTCAAGTGTATAATTTAGTTCCAGAGATATTCATCTTTATATTGCCACACTGACTTGCACCTGACCAGAGACCTTTGGAGTAAATTGGCCGACATTTCCAGGGAGACGGGTAAAGACATGAATGTGAAGGAGTTCACTTCTTAGGGCGTGGCAATGGGCGTGTCCACTGGAGTTCACTGCTTATAGGGCGTGGCAATAGGCGTGTCCACTAGATTTTTTGGCGAAGATGGCTGCCTTTTCAGAACCGATAACCGGCGTCCAGATTGCAGAAGTGGCCTGAAAACTAAGATGACGATGTTTATGGTTTACAAAATGGTCTCTCTAGTATGTAGGCCACCCCCTTCCCCCGTTAACAAAATAAATGAAATATAATTTAAAAAATAATACAATGAATAAATAAATAATCATGTATATATATTTCAAGTTCAAGTCTTGTTGTTTGACTTCGTAATGTCTTAGCTTTGCTCATTTTCATTGCTGTTTATCTGTATACTATTAATGTAAAGTGACTTTGCAATATCAAGTCTATTATAAGATAGAGATATGACCACATATACGAGTTTGGTAGATCATTGATTGTTTTATTGTTTTGTTGTTGTTGTTATTTTTTTAATACCATATCATTAATCTCGCTGAAATTTAGTATTGTAAACAGCCTTATTTATTGTCATCCCATGCTCTTGCACTGTCTCACGCGAGGTTGGATTTTGAGGGTCGTATTGTCGGGGTCATCTCGTGCATATAAAACATACATATATTATTTTACTACTTGAAAGAAAATAAAAGTTGTAACAAGTATTACAGGTAATTTATTTATTTTTTATTCCTGTATAATATCCCAGAAGAGACACGCAGTAGTACGTTAATTTCTGTAATTCCTAGTCATCGGATTGATATCTTTACTTTTGCACTCAATTTTCTATGTTACACTATAATTTTGAAATTTGTTGTCCAGTGTTAGAAAAAAGAAAGAATTGAGAATGATCCCATTTGTTTGGATTTAAATCCACAAGAAAAATTACTTCTATTCAATTTAATGAGTAAGAGCTGTGCACTCGATCCCCCCCCCCCCTTTTTTTTTCACGTCCGCACGTTCAACTATATTGATGCCCATCAGAGATGGACCCAGCAGCGAGCGCTACGCCACTATGAGACTGTGAGGTCGGCTAAAGTTCAATGATTTAAGGCCTATTGTGATATGAACATTCCCATAACCTTAGCAGCCTGCATACCGGGTGGTGTGGAATACACATTGTCCTACGTGCAATAAGGAGTGCATGTAGTTGCATGCATACGTCGTACACACACAATCGGGTTTCCTTATTGATAAAGTGTGTGTGTGTCTTTGTGTATGATACATGTAGTTCGCAATTGATGACTGTACGGTAAACGTGCTGGGCAGCTCAGATCAGCCGTTTGTGTATACACTTCCTTATATCCTCGTGTACGTTTGCAGTAATACTATATAATACATGCATGTTCTAGCCTTGTCGTGCATTTATTGTCATTTTGGTATTGGCCTTATATTTGATGCCTTATTTCATCATCCGCAGTTGAAGTGAATATCTACTTAGATTGAATTTGCAACAGTTAGACCTTATCTTCTGATACCGGATCGCAATCTAAGGGACATAAGACCTGGCTCAATTTCTGAGGAATATCGATCGCGGATTCACATAGTTTAGATCCTCAAATCATGCAGTCTCGCGCTCTCTCGACTAGTGCATTATTGAACGCACAATAAGGTTGTGTACAATTGTGACTCGAGTTGGCATTGTGTTTTCCGTATAGCGTTGCATTGGCATTGGATCTTCTTTAGCTAGTTTTTATATTAGCTTTCAATATAAGGCTCAACGCACTGGTACTGCATTGTAGACGTCAACCAAAATCGTAACTGGCGATCATCACCCCCCCCCCCGATTTTAATTAGCTTTAATTAGCAAAACGGATAGGCTACACCAGACAGTTCCTTAATTGTCAAATCAGTCATCCTACAATGAAGAAGTCATCTTCAAAGAGCGCCAAAGACCTGTCTAATCTTCCAGAGGCATGGCATCGGCATTACACGGACCAGGAGAGGCGGATCCTCGTTCAGCTCGTCCTAGATCGTATCGACATCATAGAGCAGAACATGAAGGACCAGTATACTTTAGAATGCAAGCAGAAGGCATGGACCGAGGTCGTCCAGCGATTCAACGCCGACGTGCGATGCAACCATCAGCGTGACATCAGGCAGATCAAGAAATTCTGGGACAACATCAAGACCAGGGCTAAGCGGATGGTGACGGACCAACGGCTTCAGAAGACCATGAGTGGCGAACTCTCGGCTGCGACGTCAGCGGCTCCGTTGTTATCCGAAGATGGAACCGACTTGGACGCCCTGGCTGAAGACTCGATTGCAGAGAAGGTCATATACTTCATGAAATTTACTGCATGCCAACATCATACGACTCAGATGAGCAATAATTCCTTTGAAGGTGATGACGACGAGGAGGAAGAAAATATGCAAATTTATACAGAATCAGGTAGGTTCAGTCACAGGTGTATTCATGTCATGACCATGGGCGTCAATCCTGGGGGGGGGGGGGGACGGGGGGACACGCCCCCCCCCCACGAATGTTCAGTTCAAACATTGGTTTACGATGAAAATCCTTTCACGAACTGAAAGAAAAAAAATCAAATTAATCCCTTGTTTCTTCCAAACATTGTTCAATGGAAACGACAAATTCATCTATCTTCCCCCCTTGCATTCTTGTTCCTGTTAGTTGTTGTTTTCTTTTTAATTTGGCAAAAATTCTGCCCCAATTAAGCCATCTATCCATCAATTAAAAAAAATAATCTTCAACTTCTGAGGGGGGCACACGTATCCCTGCGTTTAACTGTTTTCTTTTTAATTTGGCAAAAAGTATGCCCCAAATCGAGCCATCTATCCATCAATTTCAAACAAATCTTCAATATCTGAGGGGGGGGCACCCCCCTCAGACACCCCTTCGTTCTACTGTTTTCTTTTTAATTTGGCAAAAAGTATGCCCCCAATCAAGCCATCTATCCATCCATTTCAAAAACAAAAATCTTCAACTTCTGAGGGGGGCACACCCCCCTCAGACACCCCCTTCGTTCTACTGTTTTCTTTTTAATTTGGCAAAAAGTATTCCCAAAATCAAGCCATCTATCCATCAATTTAAAAGAAAAACTTTAACTTCTGAGGGAGGCACACCCCCCCCCCCTCAGACACCCCTTCGTTCTACTGTTTTCTTTTTAATTTGGCAAAAAGTATGCCCCCAATCAAGCCATCTATCCATCCATTTCAAAAACAAAAATCTTCAACTTCACACCCCCCTCAGACACCCCCTTCGTTCTACTGTTTTCTTTTTAATTTGGCAAAAAGTATTCCCAAAATCAAGCCATCTATCCATCAATTTAAAAGAAAAACTTTAACTTCTGAGGGAGGCACACCCCCCCCCCCCCTCACACACCCCCTTCGTTCTACTGTTTTCTTTTTAATTAGGCAACAAGTATGCACCAAAGCCAGCCATTTAAGCATCAATTTTAAAAAAAATCTTTAACTTCTGAGGGGGCACATCCCCTCAGACACCCCCCCCCCCCTGCGTGGCGCACCCATTCGCCCCCTAAAAAAATAACCTGGCGCCGCCCTGATTGAACTTGTGTCCCCCCCCCCCCCCCACTGTCTAATTTGGATTGGCGCCCATGGTCATGATGTATTGGAATGGGAGGTTTCTATCCCAGGGGGGGGGGGGGGGTGAACATTTTCGGTGTTAATTTTCTGGACAATAAAAATCTCTTTTTTTGCAAAAAAAGTATTTGTGTGCGTATTATTTTTGTTGTTGCTTTGTTTTGCTTTCTTTTTAAAGGAGAAAGACTAAATTCCTCGGAAAAAAGGTCAAATGAGCTTGATAACAAATTGGCCTTAACCCTTTGTCTTTTATGTTTGTTGTCGTTACAGAGTATGAATCGATGGTTAGGTCGGAAGGAGATGTGATTGTATGCGATGATGAGCCACAGTCAGGTCCACCAGCACCAAAGCGTTACGTTCTCGAATCTCGATCATTCAGAGATCCCCCACTTCCCTTCCCGGGCCCGGCGGCCGAAACTTCCGAGTTCATGGGTACGGGAGGCTACATGGAGCAAAGTAGGGACTCCTCGAGCAGCATACAGGTCACTGCATCCAGTCAGCACGAAGTGGCGCAACCATCCTTTTCTGGACACCAACATTCTACCTCAGCGCCGGCCAACGGTACCGCATCACGCGTAACTATGGCAACAAATTCCGTGACCACGCCCAGTTACGATGGCGGTTGGGTTGTGGAAAATTCGGTGAACTCGAATGGAAGCAGGTCGGGTCCTTCTGCTACTGCTGCCGCAAAGAGCTCGCCTAGAGGGAATCGTCAGACCATCAAAAAATTGAGGAAAGAGGAGTATGAGTTGAGAATCAGGAAACTTCGGTTAGATGTGAAGTATGCCCGCATCGAGCATGATGAGCGATTAATGGTCATACGGGCCCAACGAGAACTGCTTGACTCTCTGAAACCGAATCCTTTAAGTATTATCAGTTCACTTTTTAAATGATTTAACTTTGGGGAAAGACGATCTCTGCAGTTTACACCAACGAACCAAATAAAACTGGACTTGTATTAGACACGAATTAGGATTTCACGAACATTGTAAAATCACAGCTCATACTTATCTGTTAAGAGATTATGAAACATATCATTATTGTTTCGTCATCTTTGGAGTACTTGACTACTGAAATTTGCATTCAACATGTCTGACCATGTGGTGAGTAGTAATGCGATTGGTCCAAATCAATCGCATGTCCTCCAATCAATCGCAAGTTTGCAGGCTCCTATCTCTCATAGAATTATGCATAGTAGCGATTAATATCAACTCTTTATAAGACGGGGCCCAGCTCAATTTGTTAGACATGATTTGTATGTCTTTGATCTTTACTAATCTAATTACAACTGTAAATGCATTACGGTAGTTTAATTCATTTTTTACGTCTATATTATCTATGTTGCGTCGGTGCTTTGAGTCATTTGACAGTATGATATTACTAAAGACTCGATTGGCCCGAATTCACAAACTTTGTAAGGAGGTTTGTTGACAAACCTAGGTTTGTGTGCGTCATATGACGCGTTTCGATGTGTTACAAACCATGTTCAGACAAACTGAAACGCGTCATGACGCACACAAACCTCCTTTGTGAATTCGCGCCATTGAGTGTGTAAAAGCGGTCTAAAGCAAAATCTCAAGAAAATGTTAATATGTGATAGACAACTTGTTACAGAGAAATCAAAACGTAGTTGTTCATAATTATATATATTTGCTTGTATACATGTACATGGATATACAAACCTTTGTATAACATGGCTGTCTTCAATGCGATTTCATCACTGATTGCATCACACCATGATGATGAAATATATTAAGTCAACTTCAGGAGCGGTGCTAGAGGGGTTTTGAGCCCCCTGCCCCCCCCCCCCCCCCCCCCAAAAAAAAAAAATCAAGCCTCCCAACAATTCTTTTTCGAGAGACACATGTAGAAAATAAACGCAAGAACCCCCAAAATGCCCCAGATCCCCCCCCCCTCCGCCCTCCCTTATAAACCTCAGTCGTATAATTTGTGGATATTTAGGTGTCCGAATAAACGATCATACAATTTCAATTCTTATGTACCTCTGTCTATTTCTTTTCCCTACTTTCTGTCTTTGTGAAAGGTTACCTTACGTGCAAATTGACAAACTGAAGAAAAGCCATCAAAAGTTGATCAAACATTACAATATTGATAATAATTGAATGAATAAACTGGGCTCTTGGAGAGATCGTTCGGCTGTCATAGGTTCCATGACAGATAACGTGGTACTGTCATATTGGCTCGGTGGATTTTGTGACGGCCATCCATTATTTCGTCAAGATCACTAAATTCACCCTGAGGGCAGTTTCGTCCAGGGGCGTAACCCCATGAAGCTCAGGGGTTTTAGGCATTTAATAACGGTCAGATGAGCATCCAGTGGCCCGCCTTAGGCCCCCTTGAAGGTCCAGGGGCAGAGCCCCTGGAAGCTCAGGGGTTTTAGGCATTTAATTACGGTCGGATAAGTACATATTGATACCTTGTTTTTGACATGCTTGTCACTAATTGGAGTGAGCGGGCGTAGCCCCCAGAATCTGATGGGTTTTAGGCATTAAGTTACGATCCGATGATCATCCAGGGGCTGCCTTAGGGCCCTTGGTTGGGTCCAGTCGGCAGAGCCCCCGAAGCTCAGGTTTTTTTAGGCATTTAATTACGGTCAGATGAGAATCCATGGGTCCGCCTTAGGGCCCTTGGTGGCAGGCACGTAGCCACGGGGGGGGGGGGGGGGCACGTGTCCCCCAAAAATGTCCAAGATTGATTGAACTTTTTTAGACCACCCTTTTTTTTTTTACCTCGATCGATTACATGGTACCATGCCATTTCAGCAACATTTGTAAATCACTGGTATCGAATCAGGAAAAAAACACGTTTGAATTTTATTAGGGGGGCAACTGCCCCCAGCCCCCATCATTACGCCAGTGCGATGGAGCATAGTGAACGAGAGGGTGAAAGTGGCGGAAGTGACTGACCCCTCACAGTTTTTTGAAGTGTTTGTGGTATTAAAAAACTACATGCCTTAGCAAAACTATCGTATAAAAACAAGCAATATAATTTTTTCACACTTCACTTTTCTACAATATTTACTTGTACACTTTGAAGGATATTATATGCGAGGGAGCGAGAAGATTTTTGCATTTCATTTTTCTAAACCCCGCTCTCTTGGGCCCTTAATAGCCTTAAGTTTGTTGCAGTCTTTAGTCAGTATTTGCTATACACTTTTTCAAATTTTCCAGGGGGGACGATCCCCCTAAAAAAGTTAAATAAATGTATAATTGACACTGAAATTTTGCCGGTAATTTAATAAATGTGAAACTGGTGACTGGCCTCCGAAATTCCCCGCAGTGGAAGAGCGGCTCGGAGCATGGAACTTCAAAGCCAAGTGCAATGTAACGCATCCCATTGATGCGCTTTACAGAACTCACGCATGGCTTGTGTTTGAACAAATTACAAGACTTTCCACTCCTTCTATATCACCTCCCTGCCCTCAACCCTAACCCTAACCTTTATTGTCAGAGCACCGAATACTCAAGCATCCGTCCTGCACTTTTCATGTAGGCCTACATTTAGAAAGTGGCATCCGTGTACTAGACGATGCATGTGGCCAGGGGCGGCGATTTCTATTCATGACCTGGGGGGGGGGGGGGGGGGACGAAACGCGAGGAACGAGGGGGGAGTGACGTCATTAGCAAAAACTTTTTTTTTGGGGGGGGGGGGAGGGGGGGAAATCCGAATCATCACCGCTCTTACATGTTATAGCAGGCCCCGCGGAAAGTTTTTCGAAGTGGGAGGGGGGGGGGGGGGGCTAAAGTATTTACGATCAGATAGGGCAAAGCAAGTGGAGCGTAAATTGGCGTGGGGTCCTGGTGCAAAGCCCCGACGGGGGTCAGGTTTTTAGGTATTTAATGAGGGTCAGATGAGCATATTTTGATACCTTATTTGTGACACTTGCATGCAGGTCACAAATCGGAGTGGGGTCCAGGGGGGCGAAGCCCTCAGAAGCTCAGCGCTTTTAGGCATTAAATTACGATCAGATGATCATCCAGGGGCCGCCTTAGAGCCCTTGGTGGGGTGTAGGGGGCGGAGTCCCCGGAAGCTCAGGTGTTTTAGGCATTTAATTATGGTCAGCTGATCAACCAGGGGGCCTTAGGGACCTTGGTGGGGCTAAGAGGGCAAAGCCCAGGAAGCTCAGAGAAAATCATGCCATTTCAGCAACATTTGTAAATTAGTCACTGGTATCGAATTAGAAATAAACCACGTTTGAATTTTATCGGGGGGGGGGGGGGTAATGCCCCAAGCCCGAGTGAGTGAGCATAGTGAACGAGAGGGGTGAAGGTGACGAAAGTGACTACTCCCTCACAGGTTTTGTTGTATTACAAAATTATATTCCTTAGATAAACTTTAGTATGAAAAGAAACAATATACTTTTTTCACACTTTACTTTCTACAATATTTACTTGAACATTTTAAAAGATATTATGCGAGGGAGCATAGCTCCCGAGCCAGAAGGAAGTTTTTACATTTTTATGTCTAAACGCTTAATTTTTAAGTCTAAACGCTGCACTTTTGGACCCTCCAAAGCATAATAGTGTGTTGCAGTCTTTAGTCAGTATTTGCTGTACATTATTTGTTTGCACTTTTTCAAATTTTCCGGGGGGGGGGGAAATCCCCCCTACAAAAATCGAGGGGACGTGTCCCCCCGTCCCCCCGGGATCGCCGCCCCTGCATGTGGTAATGGTGTCTCGACCATGTTCATGGCTAATATCCTCGGAGCACTTTCATAGGGCTCGATCTCGACACCGTCGCCAATGACGGGGCGAAACAAGAAGCAGCTCGGTCCGACCTCAGCAACGTCGAGTTCAGGTGCCACTCGGCCCTGGAGTTGCCCGCGTGGAGTGGACCAAGGCGTACGATTTTCTGTTCATTTACATGGCGGTTCACAACTCGTACAGACCGGAGTAGTTTCTGCTGGAAGGCCTGAGGGCTCATACCGGGGGCGAAGGTAACACGCTTTTCATCTTTATATTCAAACTTAAATATTGATTTTTAAAGAAAGAATAAAATGTTTTGAATCGAGAACTAAGGCATAATGGGCAATCTTTTTATATTTCCTTGCGTTATCATAGTTATTAAAAAATTGGCATCTAATAGTTTCCTAAACTATATTTCCCCTGAAAACCGTTATTTATGTTGTCTATATTAGTTCATATTAAATTACCCCCTCCCCCTGCCAGGGAATGATACCAGTGCCCCCTCGATCATTAGCAGGAAGAATCAATTATTTTGGAAATATAACTGTGCTTACTAGTAATAGTAGGAGTATATAGTAGTAGTAGTAGTAGTAATCAGGAGCGGCGAAGCGAATGCCAAAGTGGGGGGGGGGGGGCATCAACCAAAAAAGGGAACATGTTAAGATTTGTGAAGTTGCAGCGCGAAAAATTACATTTTTTAAAGAGGAAAAACCCAACCCTGATGGGGTTATAAGCACATTCACATAACGGAAGACTGAAAAGGCCTTTGATATGCAACATAATTATATTATCCATCAATGCGAGTGAGTGTAGCGAGCAAGCTTGAGGGGAAATTGTTCTAAGTCGCTTCAAATAGTTATTAGGGGCACGTTTCATGATGAGAGGAAAAGGGGACACTTATAGAAAGGGACAAGACACCTATCAAAAAAGAAAAGCAGCACGTATCAAAGTACAAAGGGTAATTATCACAGGTGAAAAGGGGGGGGGGGCACTTCTTATACCTAAAAAAGGCACTCGCGAAGGATATAAAAAAAAGGCACTTGTGCGAGTGGTAAATGAGCATTTATCCACGGAAATGGGGCACCCATCAGATTTTGATAGGGGCATTTATAAGAGATGAAAAGGGGCATTTTATGAAAAGGGGATAGGTCCATTATTAGAAAGGAAAATGGGCACGTATCAGGGGTTAAAATGGAAATTATCAGAGGTTATAATTATCGCATCTGAAAAGGGGCACTGACCGGATATGAAAGGGGGTACTTAAAATAAAGGAAAATGTGCATTAGTTGAAAAAAAAGCACCGATCAGATTTGAGGGGGCCTCAATCTCTTATCAAAAAGAAAAAGGGGCACATGTAAAAATAAACGGGGCACTTATCAGAGATGAAAAGGGGTAATTGTGAGAAGGGGAAGGGGCACTTATGAGAATGAAAAGGGACACTTTTCATAGGTAAAAATGATCATTTTTGAGAAGGGGAAAGAGCTCTTTTTGTTAACAGGGCACTTATCATAAGGAAAAGGAGCACTTGTGAAAATAAAAGGTACGCTTATCGGAGTTTAAAAAAACGGTAGTTATTAAGGGGAAGAGGGCACTTCTTACAAAGGAAAAGGAGCACTTGTAAAAGTAAAAGGGGCACCTCTCAAATCTAAATAGGGGAATCAGAGGTACGTGAAGGGGGCACTTATCAAAAGTGAAAAAAGGCACTTCTCGTACCTAAAAAGGGGCACTTACTAGAAATTAAAAAGGGCACTTATGAGAATGGAAAATGGAAACTTGTTGAAATTAAAATGGGCACTTTTCCTATGTAAAAACGGGCAATTTTAGGGTACTTGAAAAATAGGGGGTTGTACTCCCTCCCCCTGGAGCGCCGCCTCTGTTTCTGTTACATATTATTATAAATT